GCCCCGGGGGACCCGCCGGCCTCCGCGCCTCGCCTTGGGCAGCTGCTCCTCTCTGCGCCTCCTCCCCGGCTGGCTCCGGCGGGAAAGACCCCCCGTGCCGCCTTGGAAACGGGTGCGAGGCGGCGAGGGGCCTCGTCCCCCGGCAGTACCGGCGCCGTCGCGGCCGTTTAAGCCCCTCCATCCCCCGGAGGGACCCTGCAAGGCCGGGGAGGGGCCCGGCTGCTTCATAGGCTTGCTCCGAGAGCACCTCATGGCCCGCCGGCTGGGGCAGGCTCTGCCGTGGTGCTTCGTGGGTGTTAAGTGCTGGCACTTCATTCCTGCATGCTTTCAAAACATCTTTCCCGTTCCCGGAATGGATGAGGGGAACCAAACTAAGAATTTAACAGATGGGAAGCTGCCTTCAGCGCCCAGTGGTGCTGGGTTTTAATGTAATATGCGTGCACGGGAATCATTTAGGATGGCCACTGTGTTTTGGTGCTGTGGCCTACAGCATGCCGCAACTTGCATCTTTTAGTGCTAGCTTGTGGGTATAGGTCATCATCTGTGTTTCAGAATTCCTACCTATGTGTGATCTGATGTTTTCTGAGTAAATAAACTTGTCTTGTCATTAAAGTAATTTACCGATATCTGATAAACTTAACTTAAAAATTGAAGTTGTTTTCTATGGTACAAACACCACTTAATGCTAATTTTGGGCTTACGGTTGTTTTTCATCATATATTTGCATAATACACTTTTTTCAGTCAAAGTTGTAAAGCTCTAATTAGAGTAATTCAATAACTGCAACTTCTCTAACACTTTTGATCTTCCTCTGTTGACTGCTATAACTTTTCTGTCTCCTGATTTTAGAGCTTTATTCCTGTTGCAGCTTCAGAGTCAGATTTGGATGCAAGCAGAATTTGGCAAATGCCATAATGGCACATTTTGGTGAGCTTCACAGTTTTCCACAGAATCTTGGCTTCCCACTTAGAAATTGAGTTTCTGCTTGGTATGTTTGGGAAACATTGCACCTGTGGACACGCACTGTGGTAGCTAACTATGTGCTGGAAAAGACATGCCAGTCAGGTATGAACATAGGATTTTTTTTTTTTTTTT